TTGCATTGCGTAGTTCCGTGTGTACCCTGCTGGCTACCATGCCACCATTCCAGTGAGATCTGTGGTGGCCCCCATTCTGCTCCTGTCTGAAGCAATGACTCTAAGACAGTTGCTGACTTGGCCTGAGTGGGCCTACATGGAGGCCATCTGGGGCTGCTCAAATGGGAGGGGAAGGTTTTAGGGCTTTGATTTGTCAGCATAAAAATCATGCAGCAAGTAAAAAAAAAAAAAGTTATATTCTGACATTGGATTCTGCCCATTTTCCTGACCCAAGACAGTGCAGGTGCATCGCCCAATGCAGCACAAAGAATGGCTGCATAGCCAAGAGGAAATAGGAGATTAAGTGCTCCTTCTATGGGAGGTCCTGCACCACATGTGGCCTGACACTGCCTTGGCCTAATCTGTTCCACTCAGCAGTGCTGGCCAGTCCTGCTGGAGGCTTCAGTAGAGAAGAAGCTGAGGTTAAAAGCTCTGGTTTGATTAACAGTGGCTGCCATCTCCCAACTTTCACCCTGAAGAACCAATGTGACTTGTAACCTGCTTAGATGCCTCTGGGTCCTGGCCCACAATCTGATCAAGAGGCCTAGGATATGCCAAGCAATTATTCTATACTTATCAGTTTCACAATGATGAAGAGAGCTTGCTCTTCAGAGGATGTGGAGACTTGAGCTGTGGCTGTTAAAGGCATCCCCCCTTCCATGTACTTTAGCAATGGAGAGGGGGAGACAAAGTTCATGGTGTGAACAGTAAAGGAGCGGGACATTTTCTAGCAGCCTGTAGACCTCTGGCTTCTAGCCTCAAGAGGCAGCTTTGCTGTGAGCCGGGATGGGCTTGCGTTGGGACCAGCACATTTTTCTTTTTTGTCATGCCTCAAGGAGGTCTAATAACAGAAACCTTTCCATTTGGGGTTGGTCCCAGATCTTCAGCTTCAGAATATTTTTGGTCTTTTATATCTACTTCCTCATTACTTCCTGCTATTCTTGAATCACGATGTAGCCACCCTAGTGCTGTAAGCCAAGTTCCCCATTATTCCAGGCCTTGCCAAACACGCAGCCTTCTCTTCTCTGGATAGTTCAGCCAATATGAAGCATGCACCCTGTAACTCCACCCCTCTTCCTTGCTAACACTCTCTACCATTTATCTAAACAAATATGTGCTCCTTCAGAGAGATTCCTTGAAGGGCAGGAATTTTCTTAGTTCAATTTCCTTGCTTAACACCGCATTTAACACACAATAGACCTCCAGAAATATTTGGTAAATGAATCAAATTAGAATCCCTATCTTTGGCAGATCATCCCTGATTAATGGGGAAAAAAATGTTTCTTTTTTTTTTTTGCCTTTGCTAGTAAGATCCGCAGCTCCCTGAAATGTTTAGCAATTTTAAGATGTTCTCTTCCCTGTGTCTTGGTGATTAGTGTCAATACTGAGTAGTTAGCTCCCCTGGGTATGGGATCGGGGATGGGGGCTTGGATTTCCCATGCTCACAATTGTCTCCTCTCCTACAAATTCAAATGTGTCTGCAATCTGAGTTATAGCCTGTGCTGGCATCGCATTGTACCTTGAGGCAAGACACACCTTCCTATATGACAGTGGTTTCCAACCTGCCAAATACTGTGACCCTTTCTTACCATTCCTCATGTTGTGGTGACCCCCATCCGTAAAATTATTTTGTTGCTGCCATAGAGCTATAATTTTGCTACTGTTATAAATTGTAATATAAATAAATATCTGATATACAGAATATCTGATATGTCTTCCAATGGGCTCATGACCTGCATGTTGAAGTCCACTGCACTATAAAAATTGAGAAATCACTCCTTATTATAAGATTTATATTTGATCCAGGTGATTAGCAAATTCAACATATTTAATAACAGATTCCATGACACTCATTAAATGCTAGGCACTGTTTGGAGCATATAATTATGTGAACTAGTTCCTCCTCATAACAACTTTACCAGACAGACACAGTTACTGCCTTTGGCCTCGTTTCATAGATGAGAACATAGGAATACAGAAAGGCTAAGAAACTTGTCCAGGGTCGTTATAGGGATTGTTGGTGTCCTGGAATTCAGATCAGTCAGACTCATTCCAGAACTTATGCCCCAAACACTCTGCCTTCCTGCCTATAAATATGAGGGGGATCCATATACTGCATATCTGAGTACTCCCTGTATAAGTTGGTTTTGCTTTTGAGTGAGTCAAGAGTTTGAGGCCTCTTCTACTTTCATGGAGAAGCATACAGATATCTGCTCAAGTGTCTCCAAGCTCACTGATTCATTGCCTGTGTCTTGAAGATAGCCCTGTGTGTGTGTATGTGTGTGTGTGTGTGTGTGTGTGTGTGTGTGTGTGTAATCCAATGCAATTTGTATTCTCATTGTAATCAAATCAATCCTGCCATTTGCCTCCTCAGAATATATTTTCAAACAACTTAGGAACCATGCCAGGAATGTACTCCAATCCCACATTGTAACAGTTTTGAACATAGAGATAACTTGAAGGCAAAATGTGTGTTATCTAAAATTATTAAACAATATTAAGTGAAGATGATACTGCCCCCAAAGAAAAAATGAAATAAGCATGTCTCTTTTTCTTTATTTTTAATTGTTCTAGTGTTTAGAATCAGGTGAGCCATTTTCTCATAAATTTGGCATTTTATTGAATGGTTCATATTTTGTGTTGCTCAGGAGACATCACTTCATGTTCAGTCAAACAGAAGCAAATGCTACCCTGTGTCCATATAGGAGGAAAAAGCAAGCACATAGATGATACCTGGTGGAGGCGTTGTTGCTTTGGTGAGGGGGCTGTTCACGGTACAGCATTTGGATACTTTTGAAGCCTTGAAGATTTCTAAATTGAATCCTAGGAAGAAAGTATTTACAAATAGTAGGCATAAAAATGAGCACATTTGTACTGTCCTATTCCTTATATGGGCCCAACAGCCCATACTTCCTCTTGCTGTAAAGCATGGACTCTCCTGAAGCTTTCATAGTTTAGGTTAAGTTAGTGGTTCCTAATTTGATTTAACCCACCACCCCATCTGATAACAACCATTAAAAAAATCTCTTGTACTGTTCATAAGTAATACAAGCTGTGCATACAAAATGTCTACAAATAAATAGAATGTGTTAGTAGTAATTGAGAAATAGCCAAGTAATTTGTAGTGGTATAATAACTGTTTGTAACATGTAAATATTGTTTTATGGCACAAAACAATGCCACTACAGATATTTGTACATAATACAATTTACTTAGTGTAAGGCATAATGGATCTGTGATGTCTAATAAAAGCAATGGAGACTGATGAAGACATGCTGAATTGCATCTAGTATAATGGTACACTTCAGTAATTCTGACATTTCAGAGGCAGAGGCAGGAGGATCAAGGTGTTGACGCTACCTTTAGCTATGAAGTGAGTTTAAGGCCAACTTGGGCTACATTAGACCCTATCTCAAAAAATAACAAAACAAAATAAGCTCAAACCAGTGTATGTTGTACTGATGAATCAATGATTATACAACGTATAATTTCCCCTCGATCTGCATAATAACTATGCACCTAAGATGGATCTTGTATTAAAGCTGTACAAGCTACCTTGTGTTTATATAAAAATGGAGTTAGTATTTGGGCTCAGATTTATAAAGTTTTTAAACACGTGAACAAATGGCCGTTTGATATTCAAAATCTTGCAAGACACGGGGACATTTTGTGTTGTGCAGAACAATCCTGGGCACTGCAGTATTTCACGTATTCTATCCCGGCCATTTAAATGCCAGTGCTGTTCAGCTGTCAATGTGTCACTCGAGAAGAATCCTTTACATGTCCCTCAATTATGTCTCCTCAATGATAAGCCTTTCACTGGCAACCACAGAGTTAATGACTGATACTAGATTTAGCCCCAAATGATAATTATAACATATTCTCTGATTTTTGTAGCCCTCAGGAAACAAAGGAATGGCCAAAATAAAAGCTTAGTAATTGGATTAATTATGAGACTATTCCATAATTATGCCCCATAATTGAAAGAATACGTTCACCTAGTGCACACAACAGCTCAGTACTTAGCCCAAGTTCTAGACTTTACTCAGACTTGTTGGAATGAATTTGGAGTTTCCATGGCTAAACTAGTGGAAAGATACACATTGTTTAAAAGTGATCTTTTTCTACTTTCTAGAATGCTTGCCAATACCCAGATGTTTGCTAGCAGGGAGGAGTTGATAGTTACTTGAAAAGAGCTAATTGCTTCTGTTTGTATGAGCGGCATTAAAAATGTTTGGATACATTTGGAATAGCTCAAACACTAAGGATCCTCGCATCATTTTGAGTAGGGAAACTCTGACCTGTGATCCTTGACTTAAAAAATTGCTAAATTTTCATAAGGGTCTGTAAAGTTGTTGTTATTATCTATCTATCATCTATCTATCTATCTATCTATCTATCTATCTATCTATCTATCTATCTATCTATCTATCTATCTATCT